AAAAAAAAAACAAAAAAAACGGTGAGCCATGTATGTGAACCATGTTTACCTGCAAGCAATTCATGTCCACAGTCAGATCTGTGAGGCCTTTACTGGCCATGTACGAAGATGAATACAGACCCTGACTTGGTCTTCCAAACAAGTCCTCCTTTCTGGCATTGGGCTGTGAGATGAAGAGGAAGAACCGCAGTGTTAAAGACTCAGCCATCTGGAACGACATCACAGACCACCTCTAACGGAGGCCATGACAGCGCAGGTAAAGGGCATCTCTGACCTGCAGGAGATGCGGCTGGTCAGCCAGAGGAATGGCCTCAGCGAGGGGCACTTCGAAAGGGTTGGGAGGGATACATCCCAGGAAGGTCATGGAGTCCGAGCGGCGGAAAAACGGATGGTGCTGTCCGGTCTCAGCAGGGACCGACTCCTCGTCCTTGTCCTGCAGGGTGGAGCCTGTGGAGTCCAGAGTAACAAAGCAGTTTGATTGGACAGCAGGAAAGCAGCTCCGCAAACACCAGAGCCATGCTGCTATTTGAATCTGCGAGGTCCACTTTGGCTCGTGAGGTTTGTGCATAGCATTAATGGAAACAACACTTAAAGCATTCGTGCTGAACTCACTCTGATTGGTGTCCTCGTCGTTCTCGTGCTCAGAGTCCTCATTGTCCAGGCCGAGCTCCAGCAGCTCACGATTCCTGAAACAGGATAAGAAAAGTATTTAGAAATCTCACAGCAAACAATCAAACAGATCTGGGCAAAAAGTGTATGAAAAAAAGTATGGTTTTCAATTTTAGTTTAAGTAAAAATTTTAGTAAATTTGTTGTGTGCTTGTCATTTTTAGTTTTTTTTTAGAATTAGTTTAAATTAAACTAAATTTTCTTTTTATTATTTACTTTTTTTTTTAAAGTAAGGAAAATGGTTTTTTAATGTTTTATAACCTATAATAACCCTGCAATATCTTATATATTGATGACTTTGCCGGCAACAAACTTAATCAACAAGAAGAAATGGGCATTCATAAATCACCGTTTTAGTTGAAAAGTTGTGCAAACTTTCAGGAAGCAGCAATGCTAAAATATTTGTAAAAAAGTATAAGAAAATTGTTAGCTTTTCAGAAGTAAATTTCACTAGTTCAAGTTGACCATCGCAAACAATAGTTCACCATTTTAAACCAGTTCAAAGAAAGGAGAGAAAAAAAGCCTTAACTAAAGCCTTTCATTCATTGAATATTTATATTTAATTTTATTTCAACTATTTTAATGAAAAACTTGAATGAATAAAAAAAGTTGCCTTGGCAACTAACTGAAAAGCAGCAAGTTTAAGTACTAAAACTTCTAAAAATGAAATAAGAAACAGCAAATATTTTTTGAAAACAAATAAAAATGACAAAAGCCCAAAATTAAATAAATGTAAAATTAAAAGACCATTTAAAATATTTATAAATACTAAATATCTGTCACTGTCAAACATTAACAAAAAGATCTCTATAAGATATCATCATCCACACTAAACACTACTAAAGTCATGTTTTGAAGTGCTAATATGGGTCGTTTACCGCTTCCTGTCAATCTGAGTGGTGTCGAGTGTCGTCTGCAGATTCATGGCTTTAATCCAGTAGATGAGGGCCTGGAAGACGTACGCCACGTGTTTGAGCGAACACACGTCCAGCACAGGCAGAACGTCTGAATGCTCGTCGTTATGAGAACGCATTAGAGACAGAGCGTAGTTCAGGAAGTCTCCTCGAGCCGACATCATCCCCTGACGAGCCGTCAAAAGTGTAGCGGCGCGCCTGGAACACAGAGAATGACATTATAATACGACAATAGAGTGCTGCAGGAATGGTGTGTTTTTGTAGGACAAAACCTGGAAACGAGTTAGCATTTTAGCACGTCCAACTTCATCATATTGAAGTCAATGGGTTTTTTGAATGGGTGTTTGGTTAAATGCCTGAAATAACATCTGAAAACAAGCTCAAGATATTTCACATTTTATTCTACAATATAAAATACTCCACATATCAATAAACAAATTTAAAAAACACTAACATTTTAATAAATAAAGATTTAAAAAGTAAATTAATTAATTTAAAAAAAGACCAAAAATAAAAACTGAATTAAACAAACATAAAATGAAAAGAAAAAAATGCAAACCAAATAAAACTAAAATAAATATAAAACTAAAATCACAACTAAAAAAAAAAAACTAAAAAAGAAAAATTTAAAGTATAAAAAGAAAAAAATTTAATTAAATAAAACTAAATAAACAAATAAAATGCAAACTAAACAAAAAAGAAAACTGTCTGCGATTGTTAACAAGTGGCTAAATGGCACTACAGTGGTTGTCAGGGACATTAAATGTCACCATCACACCAAACAGATAAACTAGGGCTGTCAAAAAAAATTAATTCGAATATTCGTCGAATTTAAAATAAAAATCCACATTTTTAGGTGTGCATCAGACAGCCTTGCCTTATCAGTGGCGCACGAGATGACGATGCAGGTGTCACTGCATTATAATATTTTTGTCAGCCTATCCAGTTAAACCCACTAGATGCAGTGCTGCTGCGTTGTTCATTAAAAATAGTTGTGGAAAAAGAGATCTTGTTTACGTCCAAAAAAAAAGCTCTTTAAACAGAACGCATATTTCACTCATTTTCTAGAGGGACATCTATCAGCGTTGCACTCGCGTCTCGCACAGAAGAGCCGCGTACGCGTTTAGAAAGCCATGTAAAATTAATGCAAGTTCAACTTTGAAAAAACATATCTCGAGACTTTATGGCAGTTTTTTCCCATCCCACTGTATCTTGTGTTTTTAAATGAAAAAAGTACTCTTTGTATTAAACTATGCATACATACATGATGCTGTTTTGTTTATAGTCGTTTAAGCAACTTAATTATAATTGGTTTATAAACATTATTTTAAACATTATGCACCCTTTTCACCGATAGTCATGTTATCTTATGCTTTGAATAAACGTGCATTAGTAATATTTTGCTCGATGCGCCTTCTTGTGGCCTCAGGAGAGAAGCCAAAAGCTTTTCTTCACCCTAACTGAAATTATGCATTTTAAATTCTAATACAATTCGAATTTTGACAATATTTAAGTACAAAATTGTAATTTAGTTTTTCAGTCATTTTGACAGCCCTAAGATAAACTCATCTACTCACTAGATTTCACAGCTCGTTTATAATAAAAAGCTTGTTTTTATATTTTACTTCTGCTTCAAAATTCATAAAAGTTATTCATTTGTGAAGATTATCATGAACGAAACAAGTAAAAAAAATGATAAACTCGAGAGTTTATTTTCTGAAATAATCCACAAGCCACTGGAAAATTACTATTGGGTTTTTGTCGAGGGAACCACAAAAATGAGAAAATGAGAATTGTAATTTCATACAGACTTAAAGGGATAGTTCACCCAAAAAAAGAAAATTGTCATAATTTACTCATCCTCATGTCGTTCCAAACCTGTATGAGTTTCTTTCTACTGTTGAACACAAAAGATGATATTCTGAAGAATGTTGGTAACCAAACAGTTGACGGTAGCCATTGACTTCAATAGTATTTTTTTCCATACTATGGCAGTCAATGGCTACCGTCAACTGTTTGGTTACCAACATTCTCATACAGGTTTGGAACAACTTAAGGGTGAGTAAATGATGACAGAACTTTCATTTTTGGGTGAACAATCCATTTAAAAGTAATTTTATAAAACGGATAGTTCCGGTCCTTGATTCTGATTGGTTTAGCCGCATTCTAAGCTGTTGCAAATTACTCTACAAACACACACCTTTGTTTACTTCGGTCTATTGCTTGGCAAGCACTTTATTGCAACCACAACTGTTTCTGAGGAGCTACATTGTTTGGTGGAAGAATACGGTTTTTATTAATATCATTACACTTTATTTGCTCTGCTTTATTTTGTGAAACCTTACTACATATATGGAATAACCGTTTTATAAAAGCAATAAGCCCCGTGAAGCCGCGGTTTACACTGAATTTATAACAGCTAAGGGGCTTTTAGGCACTCTGCTTCGTGACCATGGCTTCACAGGGCTTATTGCTTTATATTAAAGGTGCAGTAGGAGATCTTGGAAAATGCTAACTTTTGCCTAATAGCACTGAAAGCAAACGTCCCCACCCTCCCTGCAATCTCCGTCCAAAGCCGCACCCCCGAATGCATTTACCCTCACAGACCAGAGACAACATTACTACAACAGGCTACATCAGGTTCCCAATTCCAGCCCATGTTCCGAAGTGAAGTAAAATCCAATGGATTTCCCCCGCTCAGGGAGTAGGGAGCAATGAACACGGTGTAGGGATCATATCGATCGGACGTAGCTGACTTCTAACGAGCTGGCGCGAGGACTGGATTAACCGCTGAGCTACATCATGTATCATTCACAGGTGAGAAATCTTTAAAAGTACTACAATACCAGGAAGGAAGATCGGGTTGATGTTTGCCTGCCATTCTTGTTGGCAGACGAGCATTTTGATTGGACGAACATTTCTTGATCCTACGCCTTCCACAGAATATATAAATACAGACAAATACATTTAGACCACTTAACTTAATGATTGCTATCGGGATGTGAAGAGACTTTCAACCAGCATAACACAAAAATTTTCTGAAGACCTATTGCACCTTTAACTGCCCAAAGGTCTTACCTTCGACCTTCAAGGGTGCGGAGACTGGCTTCCTCTCGAGCGGTCATGCGCTCCCTGCGGCCTGCGTGCTGTGAAGCGTGCAGCGGGTGACTGGGGTGACCAGGATCCCCGGCTGATGACAGAGCGGAGCCGTATCGCAGCTGCGCTTCAGTGGAATCCATGATGGACACCATCCAGTTCCAGGTGGGGATCAACTTATCCTCCACAAAGTTCTGCAAAATGACTTTATCCTGTTATATTTTGCCTTTATTACAGTCTGATTTTGTTCGGGTAAAGGCTGAGCGACTCACCTGCAGATTAACCGCGTCCTGATAGGTGAGTTTGACGGCAGCGGGGTACTGCGAGTAGACCAGGTGGTTGTATTTGGGTATGAGGCTCATGAGGTCGGAGATCTGCCGGATGACGATGCTGTAGGCTCGAGCCAGGCTGCTGGCAGACGTCAGGTAGCTGCTGGAGTTACTGGCCTCCAGGGCTGCTGCGGCGGCTGCAGCGCTCGTGCTGATGGCGCTGCTCCGTCGCAGGTTTGAAGGATCGATGTAGATGAGGCCCGTGGAGCTCGCTAAAGGAGACATTAGAATTATTGCTACTAATATTAAATTCCTTATATTTTCCAGAATATAACTTGTTTTTTTATCATCTGAAACGTCCTGGGAATTATGGCGCATTCAAGTCCTAGTGGGAAGTTTTTACAAGTTGAAGTGGTAATTATGACATTAGATGCGTTCAAGTCACTTTGGTTGGAGCAAGATTGCAATGTCAATGGAGAAAAAAAAAAAAGGAAGAAATATCAGTGTCATTGTTGTCAATGTTAACTAAAACTAACTTTTCTTAAAATAATATAAAATTGATGAATAAATAAATAAAAGATGACAATTTTCATTTTTGGTCGGACTATCCCTTTAAATTTAAGATGAAGTACTGAAATTACAAAAACACAAACTTACTAAAATAAAACATTGAAAATATTCAAATAAAATTAATTAAAAATAATAAATACATCAAGGATAAAAAAAAAAGACTTTAAATCACTTTGGCTGGAGCCATGTTGGGCGATGAAGCTTTTCTACAAAAAATTCAGTAAGTTTTTTTAAAACTCTACTTCTACAAAATAATATAATATGAATGAATTCACATCAGGTGTATTTTAGTTTTTTAATTCAATTTACTAAGGTGTTAATATATAAATATATATAATAAAACTGTATATAACTAGCCATAATTGTACAGAACTGTCATATTTTGTACATGTAACTTAGCTAGTTTTACTGTAAATAAAAAAATAATAATTTCATTAAATTCAATAAAATTTACCATCTATACAGACACTGCATCTATTGCATCCAACTTATTCTCTCACTGAAACGGCACCAACTCAAAGTTTCCCATTCATAGTAATGACTTTGTGGTGGCGTTCATGTGCGTTCAACTCAGAAAAGATCTTTCTGACATGACTTGAATGCATCATTATATTCCGAATGCAACACAGAGCACACAAAACAAGCGCAAAGCACACATTTGGATTTATGCTGAATAAGGGGCCGTTCACATATCGCGTCTTTTGCGCGCTCAAGTTCATTATTTCAAATGTAGACGTGCGGCAGGCTTTGGAAAAAAGCAGAAAGCGGCGCGCCTAGCATTTTCCACGCGTTTTTAGGCGCGACGTGAACGTAAGAGAGGTACATGAGCCCAAGTTTATTTGTATAACGCGTTTGGTGTTTATAATAAACGATACTTATAATGAATGCCACTATAATTTATGTTTGTTTTATATGAATTTGTGTTCTGAATACAGTTAAATAAAAAATTTTGTTGCAGAGTGAGGGGAACTAAAATGCATGTTTATAGTGTTTATAATTTTCGTAAGCATTTTGTTTTATTCACCGGTATTCTACATAATTTATGGATGCAGTAATAAAATGCTGACTTCTCTGCGTTTTATAATTTTTTTCTATCAACAATGGAATTTTGAGCTGAGAATTTATTTTCCCATAAAATCCGGTCATCACTTTTCTGGGACAGGTGGTGGGAGATACTAACCAGCAGGTGTGGATGAGCTGGATGGGACGCCGCCGGCGGAGCGCTGGCTGGGTGTAGTGCGAACAGCCCACTGCATGGAGCGCGGCGCCTGGGCCGCACTGTTGGCGTGTGCTGAGCCCGTGGTTCTCTCTAGAGGCTCGTCCAACAGGAAAGTCTCCTGATCCACATCGTCACTCTGACTGCTGCTGCTGTCCGAGTCACTGGAGTCATTCGACTGAGAGTCGTCCTCGGAGAAGAAAGCAGGAACGCTGCTGGCACCTGCAGGTAAAAGACAGGGTTACAATTCTTATCAAATGCATGCACTCTTTATTCTGGTCCAAATTTTTATGCCATGGTTTAAAGAGAAAGTGATGTGACATGTAGCCAAATATGGTGTCCCATACTCTGAATCATTTCACCCATCCAAGTGCACACACACAGCAGTAGTACTGGGAAGCCATTTTTGCTGCAGCGCCCGGGTCTCGCCTCAGTCATGGTATTGAAGTTAGAAGAGAGCACTGGTCATTCACTCCCCCACCTACAATCCCTGCTGGTACTGAGACTCGAACGCATGACCTTCGGGTTACAAGTTCGACTCTCTAACCATTAGGTGAAGGGTTTGCTACTTTTGCATCATAGTGGCATCAAAAACGATTACAATCCAATTGGTTTGAGTGACAACATTTGCTCAACCAATGGCATGAGTTTTTGGGGGGGGGGGGGGGGGGGGTGTATTAATGGAAATTTTAGATGACCTTTCATATGTATATATAAAACACTTTATAATCTATAATAACATTTATTAACAACTTATTTAATATTTTCTCTAAACCTTCTTGTATATTAAGACAAGCACCTGCAAGCATTCAAACTAGGGGTGTGCGATATATATCGATATTGTGGCACGTGTGCAGCAGTGGACCGCGCTTAATTTGAATACGAGAGCACCGTTTAAAATGTGAATAGAGCATAATACATAGGCTACAGCCAGGTTTAATCTGGCCGCAGAGGAACACAATCGGGGTTGCCTGATATAAAGAGACGTAATCCCCGAAACAGAGCTTCCCACTTCGCGCAATACGGAAATATCTGCTAAGTGTGTTACTTATTTTTGTCAACCTGGCAACCATGTGCATGCGCTCGCTCTTTCTCCACTGTGGATAAACGCGCTTGCTTTCTGAAAACGCTGGTAAGCTTAATATTGTACCTGGTGGGGAGTGCCCAATGTAAACATGAAACATATGCCATTACCTATATTGTACTGTGGTACAGTTATAGAGGCCCTTTATAATGCAGAGGTCAGCTGCCTGCTCTGCCAATAGTTAGAAATGGCACTACAGTATGCAGTGTTTAATAAACAGCTGTTTTACTAAATTCTGCTTTGGTGAAATTTAGTGCAGTCCTGTATCGTGATACGTATCGTGACTTTGCTGGTGATACACAGCCCTAGTTGATACTGGTTTCATTTGTTTGGTAACAGCCTAAATGTCTTATTATTCTAATTGACTGATTAAACGTAACAATTTGACTCAAAAGATGCACACTTTCAGAAAAAATGGCTTTATTAAAGGTAAAAATACCCATGAAAGGTAAAAATCAATTTAAACTTATATATGAAAAGATTAATTTCTGTTCACCGATGTGAACTGACCACACAGAATGAAGAATATCAAAAACTGCAGCTGTCCATGGTGGTCAGATATCAGCACAATAACACTCAGCAAAATATCGTCTAATTATCGTTATCAAAAATATCCCAAAAAATATTGAGATGTTTTCCCCCCCCCAAAATCGCACACCCCTAATTCAAACTAATCAAGGTTAGCTGGAACTCATTAGGGCACAAGAAACATGCAAAATAATTAAATATTCATGGCTGTAAAAGCCCAACTGCAGTTTCTTGGACTCACAGTGATGTCTGGTGCACACTTGACGATGAGGCAGTGTGTGAAACAGTCCAGTCTGATGGTGCCGCTCTGCTGGTTCAGGTACATCTGCTCTTCTGGCAAAAGGTGAGCGATTTTGCTGCTGGCACTTAGTCTGAAACAATACGACACGTTATGTCCACAAAAACATCTTGAAAGCTGAATATGTACAATGAAATTTGCTAATGTTCAACGTTCTACTCACGGGTCTTTGTTTTCCTGAGAGCCGAACATTATCATGGACTTCAGCGCGTTCCAGTCCTGCAACACGCGCTCTAGAGCCAGCTGGGCGAAGCGAGGAGGCTCCAGGTCATGATCCGGCATATCGGAGTCTGAGAGAAAGACAGACACACATTAAAGTACACAGAACAAACCAATGTTCTCCACACATACACTAATGAATCATGCACAATAAAGTCATGAACATTAAGAAATGAAATACTTGTCTTATATTTCTCCACTTTTGATGCTTTGTAGCAAAGGTTAAAAGCAGACTTACGAAACATTAAGAATAAAAACTAGAGGTCGACAGATGTATCGGTTTTGCAGATTAATCGGCACGATAGTTGATTGCTGGAACGATTGGCTAAAATCCATGCCGATAGTTTATCAGGGTTGTGTCTGTTGCTGGAGCAGCTGAGAAGGTCCGCTGTCATTATACAGTACGAGAGCGGCCTCTAGAGGCAGAAATCACTGACAGCACATGCTGTTTGTTTTGACACGTGACACTGCACAGAGCAGGGGGCTGTTTCATAAAACAAGTTTACCAAATAAGCCAGGTTTATTTAAGTTAGTCTGACTTATTGTCAGCTGATTTGGTTCAAAATAAGTCAGACTAACTGAAATAAGCCTGTTTTATGAAACAGGCCCCAGGTTTACCATTTAATTTTTTACTTTAATAACACAAGCTATATGTCACAGGACAGTATAATATGGTGTGTAATTATGAATAATGAGAGCAAGATATGCTGGTTCAGGTACATCTGCTCTTCTGGTAAAAGGTGAGCGATTCTGCTGCTGGCACTTAGTCTGGAACGATACAAAACGACATGTCAGCAAAAATGTCTTGAAAGCTGAATAAGTACCATGAAATTTGCCTGGTTGATGTTTAATGTTGTACTTACGGGTCTTTGTTTTCCTGAGAGCCGAACATTATCATGGACTTCAGCGCGTTCCAGTCCTGCAACACGCGCTCTAGAGCCAGCTGGGCGAAGCGAGGAGGCTCCAGGTCATGATCCGGCATATCGGAGTCTGAGAGAAAGACAGACACACATTAAAGTACACAGAACAAACCAATGTTCTCCACTCATGTCAGCAAAAATGTCTTGAAAGCTGAATAAGTACCATGAAATTCGCCTGGTTGATGTTTAATGTTGTACATACGGGTCTTTGTTTTCCTGAGAGCCGAACATTATCATGGACTTCAGCGCGTTCCAGTCCTGCAACACGCGCTCTAGAGCCAGCTGCGCGAAGCGAGGAGGCTCCAGGTCATGATCCGGCATATCTGAGTCTGAGAGAAAGACAGACACACATTAAAGTACACAGAACAAACCAATGTTCTCCACACATACACTAATGAATCATGCACAATAAAGTCATGAACATTAAGAAATGAAATACTTGTCTTATATTTCTCCACTTTTGATGCTTTGTAGCAAAGGTTAAAAGCAGACTTACGAAACATTAAGAATAAAAACTAGAGGTCGACAGATGTATCGGTTTTGCAGATTAATCGGCACGATAGTTGATTGCTGGAACGATTGGCTAAAATCCATGCCGATAGTTTATCAGGGTTGTGTCTGTTGCTGGAGCAGCTGAGAAGGTCCGCTGTCATTATACAGTACGAGAGCGGCCTCTAGAGGCAGAAATCACTGACAGCACATGCTGTTTGTTTTGACACGTGACACTGCACAGAGCAGGGGGCTGTTTCATAAAACAAGTTTACCAAATAAGCCAGGTTTATTTAAGTTAGTCTGACTTATTGTCAGGTGATTTGGTTCAAAATAAGTCAAGACTACCTGAAATAAGCCTGGCTTATTTGGTAAACTTGTTTTATGAAACGGGTCCCTGGACACTTAAGAGGCGTGGGTCTAAAACAGACAACGAAGCGGTGTGTATACAGTACACTAAAGTGCATGTTTTCATATCATAATTAATTTGTTGACTAGATGCTGCATTAGTTTGCCATTAAGGCTGAGGGGACACGAACATTAGCAGCATTTCAAGCGGTTAAAACAATGTGACCAAAACACACACAAGTCTGACCCAAATGTTTAATGTCACGATTGTTACCATCTATTTGCATTAGTTTATATCCAGCTAGTCACATTAATGCATTTGTTATCCAGCGAAGTTGCAGATTTAAAGCTGAGACGTGAGAAAGCAAAATTATATGTTCATTCAGCCGACAGAAATCCTGCCGCAACACGGAGCGCCATTCACACAGTTTTCATTAGATTACATTATATGTCCTAAATCGTTGTTAATGTACATAATGACTTCACCCTGGGCTGGAAGATTGTGTATTGTGCGTTTTTCTGTATGCTTCATATAGAGAGCTACAGAGAGAAAGAAGGAGGGAAGAAAAAAAAAAAGCTTTCTCTTTTGCTTTTTTTTTTTTAAATCACCAAATTTCAAACTCATATGCTGCTTTTTTTTTATCATTCTTTAAGTGAACTTTTGCCCGTTTCGTGATTAAATAAACTGTTTTAGACTGCTGCTTGAACTAAATACGCCGTTGCAGATTTAAAGCTGAGACGTGAGAAAGCAAAATTATATGTTCATTCAGCCGACAGAAATCCTGCCGCAACACGGAGCGCCATTCACACAGTTTTCATTAGATTACATTATATGTCCTAAATCGTTGTTAATGTACATAATGACTTCACCCTGGGCTGGAAGATTGTGTATTGTGCGTTTTTCTGTATGCTTCATATAGAGAGCTACAGAGAGAAAGAAGGAGGGAAGAAAAAAAAAAAGCTTTCTCTTTTGCTTTTTTTTTTTTTTAAATCACCAAATTTCAAACTCATATGCTGCTTTTTTTTTTTATCATTCTTTAAGTGAACTTTTGCCCGTTTCGTGATTAAATAAACTGTTTTAGACTGCTGCTTGAACTAAATACGCCGCGTCTGGTGCAGGGCTCCAGACTGCGACCAAATAGTCGCATTTTGCTAATTTTAATAGAATTCTATTTTAAATTAATGCACAGGCGATTTCATTAACGGAGCATCCCGTCAGTCTCTGTTTTCGCTTAACGAAACTGCGCTATTCATTTGAACTGCGGCGACTGGTTTATACTCGCCGCATCAGCACAAGCGCAAAGGTGCGTGCAGCAGAAATTATGCGAATATTGAGGAAATGACCGATGGTTTTCAAGCCAAAATAAAGTAAAAGAACCAAGCCAAAGTAAAGTAAAAGAATCTTAAACCAGAGAAGGTGAACATGTTGGTACTCTTGCGGCAAAAAAACATGCAAGCACCGTCACCGACAGCAAGTTTAGTTTGACTTTTCTTTTTGTTTTCATTTTGAAAAGCTTATCTTTGCTGTTTGTGTGCATAATGTGTTAAATTAAATAAACACGACGTTTACTCAGTTAACGCAATTTATTCCTTCCATCATCCAGCTCACATCAACATAATTCTATTTTAAATTAATGCACAGGCGATTTCATTAACGGAGCATCCCGTCAGTCTCTGTTTTCGCTTAACGAAACTGCGCAACTCATTTGAACTGCAGCGACTGGTTTACACTCGCCGCATCAGCACAAGCGCAAAGGTGCGTGCAGCAGAAATTATGCGAATATTGAGGAAATGACCGATGGTTTTCAAGCCAAAGTAAAGTAAAAGAACCAAGCCAAAGTAAAGTAAAAGAATCTTAAACCAGAGAAGGTGAACATGTTGGTACTCTTGCGGCAAAAAAACATGCAAGCACTGTCACCGACAGCAAGTTTAGTTTGACTTTTCTTTTTGTTTTCATTTTGAAAAGCTTATCTTTGCTGTTTGTGTGCATAATGTACACAAGTACTCTGAAGTGAGACAATGATCGATAATGTCAATAATAATCGTTCATAATGATTATTAAGCATGATGTTTTTTGCTAAATTTGTAATTCAGTAACAATACAAAAACAACAGCTCACATCAACAACACCGTTCCTTAACAACAACGCCCCCTTTTCCCCGCGCGCTCACCTTTTAACCGGTGCATGCACTAACCTTATTTTTAACCCGGAAGAACCTTCTTCCATGTGAACAGAGTAGGGAGGAAATAACATGTTAACATAATGAACACAACGACAGCAAGTTTAGTTTGACTTTTCTTTTTGTTTTCATTTTGAAAAGCTTATCTTTGCTCTTTGTGTGCATAATGTACACAAGTACTCTGAAGTGAGACAATGATCGATAATGTCAATAATAATCGTTCATAATGATTATTAAGCATGATGTTTTTTGCTAAATTTGTAATTCAGTAACAATACAAAAACAACTCAAATAGGGACCAAAAAAAAAAACAAATCCTACAATTTTTTATTTGAGAAACTGCACTTAAAATAAATTCCAAGAAGATTTTAAGAATGTTTCAAAGAAAAGATTTTCACAAATCCAGACCCAGATCACTTCCCTACTCAAAGACACACCTTCAGCGCTGGCTGCCTTCCGGTTCCTGTCCTCTCGTATCCGAGGTGGTCGATACTGGCAATGCTCCACGCTCTGCCTTGCAACAGTCTGCACCAGGAACAGCAAGATGTGCTCTCCCCTGCCAGACACAAACAAACGGCGCTCAGGACACAGAACACTGGCCGGACGTTGTCCTGATGACCCCGTAAAACGGTCTGGCAACAGAAAGTTGGAGCAGGACTTAAAGGACTCATTCCTTGAACATACCTGCTGTTAGGAGTGGTAACTAGATTAGTGGTGGTCAGCAGCCTGTAGAGCAGATCCAAACGAGCTGCTTTCTGGCCCGCGATGAGGGTCTTGCATTTACACTTCTCCCAGCAGTCACAGTATGCGGTGGGAGACGTTCTCTTCAGTCTGGAGAAGAAACAAGACAGATTACTGTTTTACAACCTTGTGAACTACCTTGCTGCCTTCTAGTGATTACAGCAACTGAAACGTAAGCCCATAAGTAATAGTTCTGGAAAACTTTTGATTGGCAGCAACTTATTAGATTTCAGAAAGTTCAGTGCCAACACGTTGCTAGGCTAAAAGCACAATACTCAATATAAGCAATAGAAGTATAAAAATACATGCAGTCCACAGTCTAGCAGTAAATGTTTCTCTACATACTTTTTGAAAAGTACAGCTTTCAGTAATAAATCAACATTTAGCTTGCATCACCTGTAGGGATGTAACGATTCACCGCGGGCCGGATGAAAATCGATGCAAATATGTGACGATTCAAATTGGTTGAGGTGTTCAACGAATCGCGATACATTTGGGGGAGTGAGTTTATGTGAATGTATCTCTGAGGGGAACTGACTGTCTTTAGAAAAGTTTAGACGGTATTTTCTTTTTCATCACGTCTCTGTATAATGCATATTAAAGCAGCGTTCATAAGCGCTGCGCAGCTTTGTTTACAGTCAAAGAAATGCTGTATCTGCTGTTCCACAAGCGCCACCTGCTGTCAGAGAGTGAATCTGCGTCTTATTCAGCCCATCATCTGTTTCGGTTTCCTGCAGATGTTTTATGTAGTATAGTTTCACAAAACTAAAGTCAGAGCATTCCGTTTTTGTTTTAAAATACAATCGAATTTAGATTTTTTTTTAAACTGCTCATGCAGCATGCATTCAGCATCTTTGTTTGGATTGTGATTCAAATGCAGTGGTTGTCTCTAATTTTTTAATGGCAAGAGCACAGACAAGCCTTTGTTTATATGAAGAGGTGTTTTTGTCTTATTTGGGGTTTGTTTTAAAAATTTCAATTTAGTTTTGTTATTTGACATATTTCTGTGTCACAAAGAAATGTGCAGCATTTTGTCCAAGCAATAATAAAAGGACACCTTTTCATTTATAATTTGTCTTAATATAGTTTAATTTTTTTTTGAGAAAATCAAATTGTGAATCGAATCGTGAGTTGAGTGAATTGTTACATCACTAATCAGCTTGATTTTTTTACACAAAGCTTGTTGCAATCAGTGTTATTTTTGTATTATTTATATACTACTATAGTATTTATTAATATTTTAATTAGCTTTGATTTTTATTGTCTTTTTTATGTTTATTTTTTCAGTTTTCATTTTAACTTTAGTTTTAGTAATTTTGTTATATGCTTCATTGCATTTTTATTACTTCCTATATAATTTTAGCTTTCATTTTTATTTTTTCATCTTTCAGTTAATTTTAGTACTTCAACTGATTTTATTTCAGTTAGTTGCCAAGACAAGATTTCTGAGTTTTTCATGAAATATTTATATTTTCTTTAAGCTTCATTTCAATTAATAAACTTTTTATAACGGTTTAAGTTACCGTTAACAACCATGTTTGCACTGCATTCAAGGATTTCGTTCTTCCATACAAGGATAAGGACAAGGACACAAGTGATGATGCAGAAAATTAGGTGTCAAGTTCAAATGATTTTATGGCATTGCACTCACTTGCAGTCGTGACCCTTGTGACAAACTCTGGCGCATTCAGTGCAGCAGCACAGAGACTCCAGCAGGCCGCAAGTTCTGCACTCAAAGATGTCCTGAAAACATACAACTACAGTTAACCACACAGTGCCATTCTATAAAATAATTCAGCTCAGTGCTTCTCAGCAGTTTTTTACATAAAGAATGTCTTTGAAAATATCTCTAAAACAATTTAATTGAAATAGATTGCACTGGAGTTTGTACCTGGTTGATGTGTTCAGCTCCAGTCCAGGTGAAGCTGCAGGTGTCGTTACAGCACAGGACGTAGAGGGGAGAGTCATCTGGGTTTGTTCCTGAAGGACAGATCATCTCCATGAACACAGACGCTGCATCCTCTTTCTCTCCGAGACCCAGATCACCTAGACAAAAATATACGATCCAGATACGAATTATAAACACAAAAAGGGCATCTAATGCTCTCTAAATGTTTCGAAACATGACAAATACATCTCAGCAAGCTAAACCAAGTTTATTACAGTTAACCAAACCCATTAAAAATATTTGTTATTTGAAATAATGTTAACTAAAATTAAACAAAATATATATATAAAAAAAAATAAAAAAAAATTAAAATGATGTAATAAAACTAAAATAAGTACTAAAATAAAACTAAAATAAAAAAACTAACAAAAATGACAAAAAGTTAAAATAAAATGTTAAATGAAAATATTGGAGGAAAAAAAACTTAAAATTGTAATTTCTCATTTTTGTGTAGTTTAACTTGAAGTACTAAAATAAAATAAAAAAAACTAACAAAAAAAAAACTATAGACAAAAAAAATAAATACTAAACCCCCCAAAAAAAACTTATATAGACATTAAACAATTTTTTTTAAAATAAAATAAACATTAAATAAAAAAATAGTCATTTCTTATTTTCGTTACTAAAAATGAAAACTAAAAAATTAGTACTAAAATAAATTAAATTATATTATATACAAAAAAAAAGACAAAAAATTACAAACTAACTAAAAAACTGAAATATAAAAATTAAATCTAAACAAAAACTATAATGGTACATTATTAAAGGTCCCATGGCATGAAAATTTCACTTTATGAGGTTTTTTAACATTAATATGAGTTCCCCTAGCCTGCCTATGGTCCCCCAGGGGCTAAAAATGGCGATAGGTGTAAACCGAGCCCTGGGTATCCTGCTTCGCCTTTGAGAAAATGAAAGCTCAGATGGCCCAATCTGGAATCTTCCCTTTATGTCGTCATACGGGGAAAGGTTACCTCCCCTTTCTCTGCTTTGCCCGCCCAGAGAATTTGGCCCGCCCATGAGAAAATGAGCTACTACCGTGCGAGGCGAGCGCAATATTTTTTTTCCTCGAGAGACATCATGGCTTGCAAATGAGCGAAGCATGGCAGTTGCCCCGCCTCTCTCCTCCTCATTAGCATTTAAAGCTACAGACACAGAAATGGCACGTCCTAAGGAAAGCTCATTGTGGGACTGGCTCGTAGTGGCTGAAATTCTGGACCAAGGCTGAATTTCGGGAAAGAGACTTCAGATACAGTACTAGGGACCACTCAGGCCTATATAAAACCATCCAAAAAGCAGCATGACATGGGAGCTTTAATACTAAAATAACACTGAGTTAAACTGCAGCCATGTACTCACCTTTGGCTATTTTCTGTGCTGCTTCTAAAACAGTAATGGCTGCTGGGTAAGCTCTCCCGCTCACCGCCAACATGAATGGAGTCATCCCACGAGCATCCCTATCAAACAACAGCAAAACAAACACTCAAAGACCGCTAACGGGAAATCGGCTATCATTCAGAGCTGCAGGAGGGTGACGCACTTGGCAGAAAGCAGCTCTCTCAAGTGAGGTCGCAGGACGACGCTGTCACACATTAGCTTCAGTATCAGGTGTGCGTTTGCCTTCCGGTCTTTAGATTCCACTACTGATGGTTCAGATGAAGGTCCTTCAGAAGACAGAGGAAATACTGAAAACATGCTACAAGAGAGTTTTATAAATGACAGGACTGGAAGGACTGTGACCCAAAAAGGTTGCAGGTATATTCTGATTCAGGGTTATTGTTAACTGAAACAACTAAAACAATAAAAAATATATATATAATGTTACTTTAAATAAAATAAACATTCATTGAAATAAAACATTTCTCATTTCAATTTAGCTTGAACTTAAATAACTTTTAAAAAAATGTTTTAATAAATACTACATAGAAATATTTAAATAAGAATAATAAATAAGAATAATTATAAATAAATAATACATTTAAAAGACGAAAAAACAACAACAAAATTACTAAAACATTACAATTAAAGTTAGCTCAGAAAAAAAATAAAAATTAAATAAATGCTCTCTCTTAAAATTCTGTTTAATTTAATTGCAATTTTGTTTTTCTGAGCAAAAAATAAATGTCATACATTTTCCCCTGATTTACAGACGAGACCCACTAAAATGTAATTCAGTGTAACAATCTTGTCAGGCATATTTACAACAAAATCAATTTATGACATACTAAAAGACTAATTACTTTCACCCCAAATACTAATTAGCTGTAATTTTACATTTTTTAAATTTGCCACTATCCTAGGTTTTGCCCATTTGTCAGTAAGAATTTTTTACTCGTTTAAAACAATCATATTTAATATGCTCCCTTATTCTTTTATATATTTTAATATGTACACATCAGAATAAGCATGTTGTTTGAATTTTTACATAAATATTGTGTTACACTGAATGACAATGTAACATTATTTCAACCAAATTTTGACATTTTATTCTCCAAAAACTTATTTGAAATCTTAAAAGTAGACACTTTACTTGCATTTAATGTGCTTTCTATGATCATAATAACTTTTGTAAATTTCTTTTGATGCAGACATCTTAACGTCTTTGACTCATATATAAAATATAATTTGAAATATATATAAAATAAAAACACTATAATCGAATAATACTAATCAATCATACTAAAACAACACTGCTCTGATTGGGTCACCATTGAAGTACAAAGCAAAATCTGGGTCCTAAAGCAAAACCAGTTGAGAACCACTGGTGTAGAAAGTCCTTTGGGAGACCGGTTCACGTACCTGGGATGGTGGAAGTGCTGGGACCCTGGCTGGTGCCTGTGGAGGCAGTGGTAAGGGAGCCCACTGCAGGGGCCAAGATGAAATCAATGTCACCATCTAGCAGAGAAGATAGTTTTGTAAGTCATCAGGCTATCGCATGCATGCAATACATCGGTTACGACCCAAAAACTGCTGCACTCACCAGGATCCATCGGTGGAGGGTCTGGTACCCAGCTGGGAGGAGCAATAGGGGGTGAAACGGGGTCTTGGTGGTCGCTGGAGGAAGGGCCGGATTCGTGGCGGCCCAAACCTGCAGCGCGGAGGGAGCGCCTCATCATCTCTCTCAAGCGCAAGCTACAGAAACGAGAACAATGAAAGTGAAACAACTGTACACTAGGGCTGTCAAAAAAAAAAAGTTTGAATTTCGAATATTCGTCGAATTTAAAATAAAAATCCACATTTTAGGTGTGCGTTAAGGAGGCAGCCTTATCAGCGGCGCACGAGATACGATGATGACGATGTAAGTGTCATCGCATTTTAATGTTTTTGTCAGCCAATCCAGTTGAAGTCACTAGATGTGGCACTGCTGCATTATTAATTACAAATATTGCGGCAAAAGAGAACGTCAATGCGGAGAAGATCTTGTTTACGTCAAAACTGAAACCAAGCCGTTCACACAGAACGCATATTTTGCTCATTTTCTAGAGGGACATCTATCAGCGTTGCACTCACGTCTCGCACAAAAGAGCCGCATGTTTAGAAAGCCATGTAAAATTAATGCAAGTTGAACTTTGAAAAAACATCTTGACTTTATGGCAGGGTTTTTCCCATCCCACTGTATCTCATGTTTTTAAATGAAAAATTTACTCTTTGTGATTGGCTTTCGGCCCTTTGTATTAAACTATGCATACATACATGATGCTGTTTTGTTTATAGTTGTTTAAGCAACTTAATTATAATTGGTTTATAAACATTATGCACTTTTTTCACCGATAGTCATGTTATCTTATGCTTTGAATAAACGTGCATTAGTAATATTTTGCTCGATGCGCCCTCTTGTGGCCTCAGGAGAGAAGCCAAAAGCTTTTCTTCACCCTAACTAAAATTATGCCTTTTAAATTCGAATCCAATTCAAATTTAGATAATATTTAACTACAAAATTCGAATTTAGTTTTTCAGCCATTTTGACAGCCCTACTGTACACCAAACAATCTAATACAGAAGTAGAAAAGAGATTATCATGTTATATTACTCTTGTTGCTCTGAACACCAAAGCCATGGTTTCAATTCCAAAGGAATGCATGAACTGATCAAAATGTATAACAGTTTGAATGCATGGATATAGAACAAACCCATACAATCTCAAAGCAAACCATGCATCTCAGATTCTTTTACTTAATTAAACAAGGCTGCGACACACATTTAAGTACAATTTTAAAATACTAAAGACACGTTTAATTCAATATATACATATGTATTGAAATTTAATTGCTAATATATAAACACATACGAATTACAGGTCGACTGCTATTGGATTTTGCTGATACGATAATAATGTGTTTATAGAAAAGCAATTAAAAGACGTGTCGATACCAGTAAAATCAATACAATGAATGTATTAAAGAAATTTTATCAGTCTTTCCTTTTTGTGACAGGTGGTCAGAGAGAAGCCACGTTGAATTAAATGCCCGACACAGTTAATCGTGTAACCAAAACACCAACAATACCCAGAAAAAAAGATTTTACAAACAAGCCCAAAAAAAGACCTGGACTCTTATTTTGAAATGTCTATGCTTCACTACTTAAAAAAAAAAAAAAAAAAGTTAGTGCAATAATTGTTGCAATTTATTTATTTCCATGTGCTACATCCTCTATTAATCTTTGAAGTTTGTAAAACTGCCAATAGTTTGTTGAAATGGTTTTCCGTATCCCAGTGAATCTGAACACTGACCCCCGGCTGCCGGATGATCCGGTGCGGTTCCCCGAGCTGTTGCTGGACACCACTGAAATGGCATTGGCGATGGCTTCGACAGCGGACAGCCTCTCAGCGAACGTGTTCCTTTCAGACCGCTCTGCTTCTGAAACACAGCGCACAGCACTCAAGTCATCTCAGGCTGGGTTTGGAAAAACATCGAACATCAGCTGCGCTCCAATCAATCCAGTGAGCTGCCTCGCCACATGATGTCTCCACAGGTCACTCGTCATTTTGTTACTTAAAATATGGCTTTCAGTTTATTTTACTTCAGTTAATTGTTAAATGCTTTTAATAAATAAATAAATGTTTAATGAAATAAAACAAATTTCAGTTAGATGCCACAGCAACATTTCTATTTTTTGAGTAAGTGCTAAACAATTAAAACTGAAATAAACTATAGACATAAAAAAAAAACTAATAAATACAAATAGACAGAAAACATAAAAACCAGTTCACCCAAAAATTACAATTCATTTAATTTACTAACCCTCTAGTCATTCCAAACCTGTATGAATTTTTTCAGCTGTTGAACACAAAATATATTTTGAAGAATGTTTGTAACCAAACAGTTGAATGTAAAGCCCCGTTCACAACAAGAACGAGAACTATAAAGATAACGATATTAGCGTCCACACCAGCGAACGATATCTTGTTTATTCTAAGCGCACGCTCGTCTGCCGTTTTAATTCTTGAGCTCATTACAGCAGGATGGATTCTGATTGGCTGTCAGTGTTTTATCGTTCATCAGCTGGGAAAAAATAGTTTTGAAAGTGATTCCAACGATATCGTTCCTCTGTATCGTTATAGTTATGGTGTGAACTATGCTATACTTTAATATGGAGAACGATTTTTAGAACTATATCTTTATCGTTATCTTTATAGTTATCGTGCTTGGTGTGAATGGGCCTTAACCATTGACTTTCAAATTATGGAAAAAATACTATAGAAGTCAATGGCTACTAGGGCTGTGACGGTCTCCGTGACAACCATGTCTACTGCCACCAGCGGTAGTGCACGTGACGTCACACACTCTATAACAAGCATAATACATAAATATCAAATGTGCATGACATGTGAAACGCTAAAGGTATGAAGTTTTGTATACAAGTGTAATAACAGTAGCGGAACAGTGAACCATGTCTACACCGGACGCGACACCGCTGCGTCGCAAAAGGTTGAGTCTGTCTAGTGTCTACACAGGACATTTGAACTCTGTGTCAGTACCTCATAAATAGGACGAGGCAGTTTCCAGTCGGGGATTTGTCATGTCGTGTCGCATCACTGATTATAATGAGTTTTATAGTATTTTGTCGCGCCGCGCCGCACAGCTCACGTCCTGTAGACAGGGTGTATTCAACTTTCTTATTTTGGGCTATTTTCTTGTTTAACTGTATTATTTCTTTGATATTTATTTGAGTGTTTTGCAGGCTGCGTATTCACTGACGGAAGTGCTAAAATAAACACGAGCTGACGAGTTAAATCGGGTGTGTTAGATGAGGGAGACAGTGCTGGGCTGACAGTTTTGAAAACCATTTCAGAGACATGTTCTTAAATGTGACTCATATAAAATATATTACATGCATGCAGTTTTAAGGCAGCTTTAATCGCCTTTTTGGTAACTTCATGACTTAACTGACCACGGCATTGCATGCACGTAGTTTATTTCGCGCTTTGATATGAAAGGATACAGGCTACAGCGCGCCGGCGACTTTGTGTGTGCAATTGAAGAGCACACACTTTGAGCACAGTATCGTTTCCGTGCTCGCTTGACTCGCGCCTGGCGCGAAGTGAAGAGGAGCGCGCGTCATCGGCAGTAATTGTTCCATTAAAAAATCGAAACTAAAAAATCTGCCACCGTCACAGCCCTAATGGCTACGGTCAAGAAATATTTTCTTTTGTGCTCAGTAAAAGAAAGAAACTCATACAGGTTTGGAACAAGTGGAGAGTGAGTATATGATACTTTTCATTTTTGGGAAACTATACCTTTAATAAAAACTATAATAACATGGGGTGCACATACATTTTTCAGTCTGGTTCTCATGAGAGCACCTGGAGATTTGGGCTGGTGCTCACACTGCACATAGTTTGACCCATTAAATATAACTATAAACAATAACTTAATAATATTATTGCATTTTATTTAGTCTGTTTTTTAAATAAAAAATAATAAACAAAATAGCGTGATAACACCATATTTTAAAATAAACTGAGTATTAAATCAAAATACAATTATTTTATAGTACACCTAAAAATTAACTTTTTTCCTTTTCATCTTTTAGATCAATTCCCATAATTTTCAAACCTAAAATCAGCAAGCTTTTATTTTGGTGGGTTGCCGGCAAGTAAGTATATGCACTGCCGAGTGAAGAGCGTTAGCGAGTTACATGTCAGTTTGCATTTTGCTGTGAAACCGGCAGCGTATAACCTAGATTTACATTTTCAGTTTGGATGGAAATCTTCTACAGTATTACAGATAGTTGATCTAAAACCGAGTGAGTGGTCTGAACTTTTCCACAGCACACTTTTTATTTTGCTTGTGCATGCGCACCACTTACACTACCGCTCAAAAGTTTGGGATCAGTAAGACTTGTAATGGTTTTTAAAGTAGTCTCTTGTGCTTATCAAGGCTGCATTTATTTGATCACAAATACAGAAAAAAAACAGTTATCTTGCAAAATGTTATTACAATATAAAATAATGGTTTCTATTTTAAAATACTTTAAAATATAATGTATTTCTGTGATGCAGCGCTGAATTTTCAGCATCATTACTCCAATATGCTGATTTATTATCAGTGTTGAAACTCTTGCTGCTTAATTTTTTTTTTGGAACCCGTGATAATTTTTTTCAGGATTCTTTGATGAATAAAAAAAAAGTTAAAAAGAAGAGCATTTATTTAAAATAGAAATCTTTTCTAACAATATACACTACAGTTCAAAAGTTTGGGGTCAGTACATTTTTATTCTTTCTTTTTTTTGAAAGAAATTAAAACTTTTATTCAGCAAGGATGTGTTAAATTGATATGAAGTGATAGCAAAGATTTATATTTTGAATAAATGCTGTTCTTTCTAACTTTTTATTCATCAAAGAATCCTGAAAAAGTATTGCAGTTTACAAAAAAATATTTGGCAACAAAACTGTTGATAATTCTAATAATAAATCAGCATATTATACTGATTTCTGAAGGATAATGTGACACTTTATACTGGAGTAATGGCTGATGGAAATTCAGCTTTGCATCAAAGAAATAAATTATATTTTAAAGGATATTAAAATAGAAACCATTATTTTATATTGTAATAACATTTAGCAAGATTATGTTTTTTTTCTGTATTTTTGATCAAATAAATGCAGCCTTGATGACTTCTTTAAAAAACATTACAAGTCTTACTGATCCCAAACTTTTGAGCGGTAGTGTATGTGCACCCCTTGTAATAACATCTCAGTGCCACTGAAAACACATTAAAAACATTGTGTTCTTACCTTCCTCCTCCTTGGTTTCCTTGTTGCTGACAGGGAAGCAGACGGAGACACAGGCGTGGAGGATGTTGCGGTTGCCGTCGCAGCGGTGACCCAGCAGAGCGTCCAGAGCGTGAGGGTTCTGCTCCAGAAGCATGGCCTGCTCCAGACTGATCAGGTACTGCCTGCACGCCTCGTAATCACAGCGCAGCACGTGCTGCATCAGCGTCTGCTTCTGAAATGCAGAGCAAACAATATATCAACCAGAAATCAGGGCTCAAGCATTTCACTCACATTTGCGTGTGTGAGCTATAAAATGTTTTAGTACATGTGACAATGTAGGTCCTTAAAAAGTAAAAAAAAAAAAAGTAAAAAAAAGTTTAATTTAAGATCATACGTGAATATGAATATGCGTATTTATGCCAACAGATGTTGGTGTAATATTAATATTGTAATATTAGTTGTTAGAGTGCATTTTTAATCTATCATCTGTCTGAATGAGCAGCTGGAAGAATTAAAAAGGGCATTTCAAAATAAGGGTCCTGTGCGTATTTCAGGATTGTTTATATATTTTTTTTCTTGTTATTGTTGGCATTTCAGTTACACAAACTGTATCTGGTATTTAATTTAATGTTCAGGGCTTGCTTACTTTTTCCCCAAAGAAATGTTGAAAAATTTAGAAGCCTATTAAAAAATACTTTAGAGGTGCAATGAAAACTTATCAAATAATGTGTTTTTCCTTATTCAGGGTTTCTGCAGACTTGAACAAGTTAAATTTAAGACCTTTTTAATACCATCTTATATGAAATTTAAGACCTAAACCTGTAATGGAAATACACATTTTATTACAATTTATCAATAAATTCAATATACACTATAGGGCTGCTACCAGTCAGATTAAATAATTTACACTGCAAATAACAATAATTACAACTGCAATAAATAATGTTATAAGATTAATGTTTTAAATGCATTTATGAATATACAAATAATAAATGTTGACATTCATGAACAAACTTCTCAACTGAACTAATGAGTGAGCATTGAGTCATTCATTCAGCTGATTGAGTGTGTTATCTTAAGGACTTTCGTGGACAGCTGACTCCTAAAGTTTTTCATATTCTGTGTGGTGGTCAGATAAGTTTAAATAGATTTTTACCTTTTATGGGCATTTTACCTTTTTTGCGCCATTTTTCTTTAAACTGTTGATTCATTCAGGAACGAAACACCGTCATGTTGCTCAGAGACACAAAACAGCGCTGTGGCTGTATTCGGAATGATTTTTGTTGGCGAAATAGAGCAAAATCAGGCAATATGATGTCTAAAACGCAAGTCTCTTAAAACTTCTAGTTTATTGAACTGTTGTAAAAAATCAATATCTAACATTTCAATATCAAATATTTGTATATGGTAATTTTTGGAGAAAAAAGGCACTCTTCCATGTGAACTTGAGTATAAATATACACATTTTCTGTCCCCATGTCTTGAATTTGTGATCATTCTGAATGTATTTTAATAGACTGAATCATGCAGTGATCAGGCAGAGCGCTAGACTTCACGTAATGCGTGCACTCTGTAGGTGTTTTGAATGTTTGTTTGTTTTGTGTCGTGAGAATATTGAGTAAAATAGCTCACTTGTCATGGTGTTACTTAACTATATCATGTAATGAATAAACTAAACATTGTGAATTTTTACCTCAGTGTGTTTCTGAGTTTGTGTGCTGTCACGCTCATTTGTTCTGAAGTCTCGAGACAAACAGAGTGAGCCTCAGCGCGAGCTTGTATTCTGTATTCTGCTAACTTACTGCAATTCTCTCTGATGATGCAGTAACTTACCGCGGGAAGAACAAATCTTCGGTCTGTCCAATGATTGTAAAGTCATTAGCTCCGTCAGACTGAAGATATTTTAGCGATAATGAGACCAAAAATAATTAAGACCCATCGAATCCGAAATTAAGACATTTTAAGACTTAAGGCCTTATATTAGGAAAACGTTAAAGACATTAAGACTTTTTAAGGACCCGCGGACACCCTGTTATTAAAGGCATACAAGGAGACATTTACAAGCAGAAAGATTTTTTACAAAAAAAATAAAAAGTACAAGATTTAAATACAAACATCAGCTTAAACCTTATACCTAAAATATTACACATTATATATTATATTATACATAATATATACAAATATAATTATTTATATACATATTCATATGAAGAGTTTATTTGCAAAAACAGATAACGTTTTTTTTTATTTTCAAAAATCATGTTTATTATGTTTTCATTGTGTTTTAGTGTTAGTTAGCTGAATTTTTTGTTATTTTTTAACATAATCAAAAATCATGTTTTTTTATTATGTAATCATGTTTTATTGTGTTAGTTAGCTGTAATTTTTAGTTATTTTTAACCTAATCAAAGTAACCCAACTGCAGTTTGATTGAGATTAATTGGAATGCACAACGAAAAAACTTGATTTTTGAAAATGGTTAAAAACGGAGTTATCCGTTTTTGCAAATGAACTCTTCATATACGTGTGTGTGTGTGTGTGTATATATATATATATATATATATATATATATATACAGTGGGTACGGAAAGTATTCAGACCCCCTTAAATTTTTCACTCTTTGTTATATTGCAGCCATTTGCTAAAATCATTTAAGTTAATTTTTTTCCCTCAATGTACACACAGCACCCCATATTGACAGAAAAACACAGAATTGTTGACATTTTTGCAGATTTATTAAAAAAGAAAAACTGAAATATCACATGGTCCTAAGTATTCAGACCCTTTGCTGTGACACTCATATATTTAACTCAGGTGCTGTCCATTTCTTCTGAGCATCCTTGAGATGGTTCTACACCTTAATTTGAAATGGGGGTGATTTTTCTCTATACCCACTGTATAAAACGGCAAGATTTCACAAAACTGTGTGTTAATTTTTAAAGAAAAAAATATTAATCTCACATACGCGGTCAACTTAAAAGTAGATATTTTCAGTCAAATTTTCAGAATAAAAGTAAATCATTTAAATGTAGAAAATGTATTTAAATAATAAAATAATGTAACTAATATATTTAATTTTTGTTGTCTTTATTTTGTTTTATTTTTTGTATACATTTTTTTAAAAGGATGTTTCTTTGCAAAGTAATCATCATATTTAGGGATCCTTGGCATTAAAAAGTTTGAAAACCCCCGATATAGACAGATTCAATACCAATTGTTCATGTATATTTGTTATATTTGTTGACAACTCACAGCCAGAGACTGTTTAAAAATAATTTGGACCTACATCATTTAAGCCACATATTTCAGTTTCAGACCGAGTCACCAATTATTGTATTACTTTGTATGAAATGCAATATGTTAAGTAGTGACTATTAAAAATAAATCAATTTCTTCATCAAAACAGCATTTTGAATTATGCATCAATGTTTCAGCAAATGCAAGAGCGTGTTTTTGTGCGTTTACCTGTAGCTCATCTATTCTGAGCAGGCGACAGTCTTGCAGCAGTGAGGAAGGGTCAGAGTCAGTGGGAGCTGCGCTCTGGCTGCTCACGCTGCTCGACGTCCCTGGAAATTTCACAGCAACATATGCACCATCGACTTTTAGCACCTTGAGTTCAAAAGAGAGAACTGTTGCAAATGAGGTGTCATAGCAAAGCATCACACACAGACCAGAGACAAAACACAGACAGGAATGTCACACGTCAAGAAAAACAGTAAGCTTATCGATCATCATTGGTAATTCTTATTAGATTAAAAGGTTGCAAAAATGCAGACAATAAATCAAAAAACAGTGGAGAAAATAGGCTTGTAGTTTCAGTCTCCACTGGATCGACGTGTACGCCAGCACCCACCTTTCCCACGGGGACGTTTTTAACGTCCTCCACGAAAACGACCTCTCGTAGAGGCCACTGCTCTTCATTGACTTTCTCCTCCTCCTTTGGAGCCGGCGTTGAGCGCCTACGCTCTGTAGCACAGCAGGTAATCAGTTAGCAATGGCAAAACACTGCAGCCAAGTATCTTTTGGTGTCTCACAGAAGACCAAACAGAAATGTTTAAACAGTTCAAACTACTTATGTAATGCCACGCCAGCTTCCTTGGCTATTTGCATGGCGAGTAACAAGATGAAATCCAATTAGGCTACATTTAGTAGATGCTTTTATCCAAAGCGACTTACAAATGAGGACAATAGAAGCAATCAAAACCAACAAAAAAGCAATAATATGTAAGTGCTTGACAAGTCTCGGTTAGTCTAACGTAGTACACGTAGCAAGGTTTTTATATATAATAAATAAAAAGAAAACAGATAGAATAGAGAACGCTAGTATGAATAAGCAATACAAAAACCTATACATAAACTCTCAAATGGATTCAGGGTTGGTGTTAGCAGAGTAATATAATTTCCTAAGAGAACTTAAAGCAGCACAGTTTAATAAAATGTTTCAAAGATGCGAGGAAGGCCATGATTAGAAAACAAACAAGCTTCACATGCAAACAAACCTAATTAAATGCAGCGCACATCCAATTGGGCAAGTGACTATTGCATTTACACACTGATTTACACTGCCATCCTTATTGCTGCGTCATAACTAGGACACTTCCATTATGGAGAAATGTGTGAAATGACAGTAGAAATGCACACACAGCAAAAATAAAAATGCATCTTCGAAACAATTTTCACTCAGAAATAGCACTTTTTTTTTTTTTACAAATAAAAGCAAGTAACACATTGAATTAAACATGACATTTTGAAGTAGAAACACTGAAACTGTATTTTTGTTGTTTTACTTACAACTTACAGGTTAGCTGTAAATAAAAAAAGATTACTGCAGCACTTTTTACAAGAAATCACTATTTTAGGTTTTGTACTTCAAAACCTCACATTTGGTTCAATTTGTTACTAGCCACTTTGTAATTGTTTGAGAAGTTTACTTGCAATTTCGGAGCGAAAATTCTTTCTACATCAAATTTTTAGGTCAATATAAACCCTGTGCAACAATGATCATGATTTTAACAGTAAAAATGCTACAGTAAAAACCTGTTAATTGGTTGACTAAGTTTCCATACTATATATGGTGAATAACTGTAATAACATTGAATGTTATTTTACAGTAAAATACTGTTAAAAGTACGATTTTTGGAAGTGAAAAAGAAAGTCATTTTATAATTTACAGTGAAAAAACGTAAAAAAGTTACATTCCCAGAATTCCCTGCATGACACTTCATATTTGATGTTTTTTAATTGAAATAACTGTTTCTTCTTAGTTTTTTCTTATCAGTTGTGTACATTAGGGTTTTATCTTACACCTAATGTTGTTAAATGAATGTGTATTGCTTTATTTCAGCATAATGCGTGTTACCATGATGGTGTTTAGTGTTCGTGTGAATCACTGTGTGCATCTTCCATATAATATAAGTATTTCCATCCTCAGCTCGTAGAAAAGCTGTTTGTGATGAGCTTTGATTCATCATGTGACTTTCTCATCACCACCTGTGTTTGGTGGTTATCAGTGTATTACAAATGGTTCAAAACAGATATTAGTACTTCAATAGGTTGGTATATTAACATTACATCAGTTAATGGAATACGTTTTTTTTATTGTGAATTTAAGTCAAGTCTGTGAAACCTAAAATGTTGCAACCATATTTTTCACGGAGAAGTTCTGGCAACCACAGCTGACGGTATTTTACCGTAAATGTCACCGATTTGTTTGTCACAGTGCAGTGTACGTACTGTAGGGCAGAGAAGCGCTGCTGGCGATGGAGGAAGTGTCACTGCATGTGGACGCTGGCGAGGGAGGAGGGCCCATTTCCGTCTTCACCAGCTCTGGCTTGCTCTCCGTCCTGATGGCAAGAACAAGCACAACCAATAGCACATCAATTTTAGCATAAATGCCTCCATGCATGTGTTTGGTGACAGAAAAACAGTCATCTTACTTGGTCTCCTGTGTCTTGGTGTTCTTCTCCATGTTCTTCAGGCTCTCGGGCGAGCGGAGCTGGAAGCGGCAGCTGTCATTCATGTTCCACACGGACTCCAGCAGAACTCCCACTTTAGGGATCCCGGCGTTTACGGAGAAGGCCACGGCTCCAGCGTGATATAGAGGGTTATTCCTCAGGCACACCTACGGGAAAACGTGACGTCATCACTGTAATACTCAATTGGGGTGGGCGTGACGGCAAAAATCTATCATGTTTTTCATGATCCACAAACATGCATCACAATTCTGTTGACTATTTTGCATGTTTGTGAACCGTACCAAACTAATTACGCTACTTAAAAATGACACACGTGACCCTGGACCACAAAACCAGTCATAAGTAGCACGGGGATATTTGTAGCAATAGCCAACGATACATTGTATGGGTCAATTTCATTATCAATTTTTCTTTTATGCCAAAAATCATTAGGATATTAAGTAAAGATCATGTTCCATGAAGATATTTTGTAAATTTCCTACCGTAAATATTTCAAAAATGTATTTATCATTAGTAATATGCATTGCTAAGGACTTCATTTGGACAACTTTAAAGGCGATTTTCTCAATATTTTGATTTTTTTTGCAACCTCAAATAGTTGTATCTCAGCCATATGTGACCCTGGAGCACAAAACCAGTCATAAGGGTAAATTTTTCCAAATTGAGATTTACACATCATCTGAAAGCTGAATAAATATGCTTTCCACTGATGTATGGTTTGTTAGGATAGGACAATATTTGGTCGAGATACAACTATTTGAAAATCTGGAATCTGAGCGTGCAAAAAAATCTAAATATTGAGAAAATCATCTTTAAAGTTGTCCAAATGAAGTTCTTAGCAATGCATATTACTAATCAAAAATTAAGTTTTGATATATTTATGGTAGGAAATTTACAAAATATCTTCATGGAACATGATCTTTACTTAATATCCTAATGATATTTGGCATAAAAGAAAAATCGATAATGAAATTAAAATTGACCCATACGATGTATCGTTGGCTATTGCTACAAATATAACCACGTGCTACTTATGACTGGATTTGTGGTCCAGGGTCACATATGTCAACAACTAGACTTTATCGTTATTATCGCGGGAAGACTCATTCTTATCGTGGGGAGAATTTTTACTGGTATATCGCAAACGAGAAGATATTGCCCATCCCTACTGGCCATTCAAGTGCAATAACCAAGCACCACAGTAATGTATAGTAACGTCACAGAAAAAGACAAACGAGTTTGCAGTCAACAACAATAGCATGTTCCCGACCTGAGTTCCTACTGTGATGTTGGGTATAGAAGAGATGCCTGCACTGGACTTTGGCTTCTTGTTCTTGGCTCTGGCCTTCTCAAGCATCTTTTTCCGCTGACTAAAAGGCACAACACCCCTAGAGGAAAAAGAAACTCAGAATTTATTCACAGATCACAAGCACAACGGCTCAAACTATCAGACATGATCCTGCCTGCTCACCACCAGTAAAGGCTGCTCTCCAGCTGGGCGCAGGTGTACAGGGCACAGCAGTGCAGAGAGATGATACGCTCTCCCTGCAGCTCCGGGAACATTTGTGCGCCATGTTCCAGTTTAGCAGCAACAGTGCTCAGAGTTTCATCCACCCATGTCGCCACCTACACAATACAAGTTAATGTAAATCTGACATTTTTTGGTACTAAAGTGTGCATCACTCATCTTATTGTATCCGCTTGCTCCTTCCTATGACTTCCTTCTCACCCACTCACATGAAAATAAATAAAATGTCTTCTTACCTTGTTGCTTTCGGTGGCCACAGTGGCTCGGATACTGTTGGCAGACAGGTGGGTGATCTTTTCATTAGTCAAGCCCAGGAAAAGGACACGAGGGTGATGTATAGAAGGATTCTGCGAATGCACAAAGATTTATGAGATTCAATTAAATCAAATCAAAGCGACAGGAATTCCTTGTCCGATGTGTACTGCAAATATTACTTGTGCGTTTCTGTAAGGTTCGGGCTCATTCCACTTCCACTGGTACAGTTCACCTTTGGTACTGACGGCAACCATCTCAGAGTACAAAGCCCCAACGCTGACAAACTTTGTTACATAGTCCTAAAGGATCACACAACAAAGGATTATGCAGCAACTCAACAACGACACAAATATGATTCATCACATAAATGAACCCCAGGAAATTGGAGGCTAATAATCAAAAGTGTTACCAGAACAGACTGGCCATTAAGTCAAAAGGTCAAATAAGGATGTGCAAAATTAAAAGCAGAACTTTTTAATAAGTCTAGTTAAAAACACTCAAGTTCTTAGAAAACGCAATCTGATATTAGTTTCTGAAACTTGTTTATAAGACTTAAAAGTTTATTGACTGACTCTAAACGAACTAAAACAAAAAAGCATTTTCGTTACTTGAAATAAAATAACCGTTAACAAATAAACTAGAATTAAAACTTGATTATTTTATTTCAGCTAGCTGCCAAAACAACATTTCTCATTTTCATTTAATTTAACTTGAAGTACTAAAATAACTAAAATAAATTAAATAAAAACTAAAAAAAAAAAAATTATTACTAACTTTAAAACTGATGAAAAATTTATATAAATACAAAAAAAATTTAATTAAAAACCTAATCATTATTTTTTAATTAAAATATTCTGATACACAAATTAGCAAGTTATGCCATTTAACATGTGAAACTGCACTAATCTTGCAATGTCATAAAAAGTCAAATACATTTAAAAAAAAAACTTTTCCTTGACATCCAGTTATGAGATTCTAAATGGGTTTTATAGTAATCACATCACAACAAAATGGATGTTGCAAACACCACACTGACTGACTATAATACAAATAGTATTTTAAAGCAAATCTGCTCTACTATTTCTTTTAAAGAAATAAAATGCCAAACTACTTTTACCTCAAATATTTCAGCCTTTTAATGACTCTTCACAAAAAAAGAAACTGAATGCAGAGAACATGTTCATTCATCACTGACCCTTAAAGGGATAGTCCACCCAAAAATGTTGCTCCAAACCTGTATGCATTGCTTTCTTCTGCAGAACTCAATAGAAGATATTTTGAAGAATGTTCGGTTCCCCATGGACATACATATAAATGGAAACCAATGGCAACAGTAATCGAATGTTTGTTTACCAACGTTCTTCAAAATATCTTTTACATTCCCAGAAGAAAGAAAGAAATACAGGTCTGAAACTAAATGACGATCGAATTTATATTTTTGGGTGAACTATGCCTTTAATTGTGTCAAGACTTAAAATGCACCACAGAAATTGGAAGTCTCCCAATCTAGGAGACTGAAGGCTTAAAGGCCCACCTTATCAGGCCACCACTGGAGCTCTTCGCCCAGAGTGACGGGGCTCTGCAGCGGCACGGTCTTCTTGTCAAGGCTGGGCTCTCCCTCACGGCTGGTGGAGCCACGCTCCGCATCGAAGGAGGCTCCATCCAGCCACCTCCTCTCGCGCAGCCTCAGGACCGACTCCCGCTCGCGGAGCAATTCAGAGTCTCGCTCTAGGGGGAGAAGGAGAACTGGTATGCAATAGGGTCACACCAGTGGGATAACAGTAAGCCACTCTCTGGGAAAGACCCTCGGAATAGTGAGATTTCATACACGTTACAATTACTTCAGTCTAATTCTGCTGTACTTCTGTGACACCAACCACCAAAAACAACTGACCATTATGCTGTAAATACGACACTGCGGGTGAAAAGGATCCATGACCATTTGAGACCCTGGACCACAAAACCAGTCATAAGTCAATTTTTCGAGATTGAGATTTATACATCAGCTGAATAAATGAGCTTGCCATTGATGTATGGTTTTGTTAGGATAGGACAATATTTGGCCGAGATACAACTATTTGAAATGGTTCTCAAAATATTGAGAAAATCGCATTTAAAAGTTGTCCAAATTAAGTCCTAAGCAATGCATATTACTAATCAAAAATAAAGTTTTGATATATTTACGGTGGGAAATTTACAAAATATCTTCATGGAGCATGATCTTTACTTAATATCCTAATGATTTTTGGCATAACACTTTTTTTAAATAATTTTGACCCATACAATGTATTTTTGGTTATTGCTACAAATATACCCCAGAGACTTAACACTGCTTTTGTGCTCCAGGGTCACATTTAGGTAATGATCCATATTTTATTAAAAGTAAAACAGGGCTACATATGGACGCTGTAGTCTGGCTTTGTCAGTTGGTGGGTCGCATTAGCAGCGGAAACATCTCGTTGACGGGGGGTGTCCAGCATGTACGGGTATAAACTGCAAGGTCTTATGGGTAACTGTAAGCACTGCAGGGCCTTTCGCAGAGGGCTCACTAAGGGAAACGACGACTATGACCATGCAGGACAACTGGACACCATCTCAAAGCACAGACACTCACACACAACACAAACATGCAGCAAGGTATCTTGAAGTATTTGATATCCAGAGGCTGATCGTAAAGCACTCGGTTCACAGATGCTGGTTTATCAACATGTAATTTAGTAAAGTATAATTTGCATGTGATTCAAAGTACACCACAGGACCTGACCCAAACTTGTTATTAAGCAATGTTGTTAAAGGGATAGTTCACCCTAAAATGAAAATTTGATGTTTATCTGCTTACCCCCAGGGCATCCAAGATGTAGGTGACTTTGATTCAGGAGAACACAAACCGTAGGGAAATTTTTAACACAAACCGTTGCAGTATGTCAGTCTTATAATGGAGGTGAATGGGAATCACGGCTTTGAGAGTAAAAAAAAAAAAAAACATGCACAAACAAAACCAAATTAAACCCTGTGGCTGAACAGTATTTATATAGTTTTTTACCTCTGATTCACGCAATGTTGTCGTTGTCTTATTGATTCATGGCGGATCGCAGACTTATAAGTGCATTACCGCTAGGGATGCAGCGATTAACCGGTTTCGTGATTAACCGCGCTTTAAAACGTCATGGTTAATTAATCGTAAAGGTTCCGCTAAACCGAGTGTTTCTGTTACACGGAACGGAACTGTTGCAGCTTGCGCAAAACGAAAACAAAGTTACACTAGCGGTGCACCAGCTTAAAATGGCGTGCTTATCAGAGGCACGAGGCTACTACATGCATTAGATTAACTGTGACAGAGGGACCAAACAGCGAAGCTTTATTTCCACCAGAGAAATGCCTGTCGATAGTGTGGGACCATTTTGGGTACACCACGAATGACCAGGGTGTCATTTAAATATTGCTGTAAAAAAACTGCTGCTAAAGAGCAAATACATAAGGGATAATGCACGGCTTGCTGTACACTGAACGATTTTAATGCACAACGTGAAGGCAAGAACCACCTGACGCGAAGCTACATAAACCCGCTTAAAAATTATAATTAAGCATAACTGTGAATTCACAAATGCTACGAATTAAATAATTATACGTGATGCAGTTATAGGCGTGTAGGTTACGTACATGCGTCACACAGCGGCTCCGTTCACAGTAAATGCTGTTCCACAGGAACTGTTATCACTTACATGTGTGTGGAGTGGCTCAAACTCCATCTGCGCATGTTGTTGTGAGTTTGGGTTTATTACAACGTGCGCCATTTCATCAGATTTGTAAGGTAAATCATTTATAAATCCATGCAAACGCAGGAGAATACATCATTATCTCGCGATTTTAAAATAAAAGCTCAAACCCTCACTCTTGAGTTTACACGTTTTGATGTCCACATTCTTTTAATTACAGTGGCTATAGCATTTCCGTCCTAAAGAAATGGCCAAATATTAAAGATTAAGTGGACATTTGAAAATAAATGGTGCTTGATAAATATGAAAAAAGTATTAGATCGCACAGTAATGTGTAAAAACATTCGTCAGGCCATTGGCGCCCTCTGCAGGCCTTTGTTGTAATGCGTTCTGCACATTAGCTCTATTCACTGATCTACAATAGAGATTATATTATTATATAATTATATATAGATCAGTGGCTCTATTATAATACAGTACTTTAACGGTTTTGTTCTATAAAACCATATGATTTCTTGCTTTTGATACTTTATTTGAACTAATTATTATTGCCTCATTGCTATTATATATGTATTTTAAGTAAATTTAAAGGCTATTGTTCACTTA